GCTGGGGGGTCTGGACCGCCCCCCCCCCGGGGTGAGGAGGACCTGGTTGAAGCAGTGCCCGCGGCTCCTCACGCACAGGGCTGGAGCGGAGGGATGTGGGGTCTGCCGGGCTCGGGCTCAGCCAGCGCTGCTGGGGCTCCAGTGAGCGTGCCGGGCAGCGGCTATGGCGGTGCAGGGGTGTCAGCGAGGAACGGACGTTGATGAGGAGTAGAGTAAGAGAAGCACGAGAATGGTTATTTAGCTCTTAGCAAGTGATGATGGATCCGTGTTGGGGGTCTAAGCTGTGCAGCAAGCCCTGTAAACCCTTCCAGTAGGATCTTAAAAGCATGTGATTTCTGTGTTGCGGTCTTGTCCAGAAACGTATCTGTGCTTTCTCTTCTCTGCTTGTCAGCGTACGCTGTAAACTCCTGGAGAAAGAGGCTTGTCTCTCACTTGTCCATATGTGCCTCTGGATATCAAACATTTTCTCTTGGCTCTTGTTAATCTTGAAATGTGTTTCGTCTCGTTCTTGCTGTGAATGCATCTCTCTTGCTCTGCACCTTCTTACTCTGACCGTGGCTAGCGATGAGCTTAAAGTGCTGGGGAACTCCTCGTAACGTTTTGGCTCCAGCTATACAGATAATTAGATCTTGGAGAGCAGGGAGGTGCTGACAGTGGAGAAGGACAGGAGGAGAGTTTGTCCCTGGATGGTCACGTTGTGTTTTGACCTTCTGTTTTAGAAACGCTTTCGTACACGGACGACACGGCCATGAGCAGGTCGGTGGTGCAGTCCCTGCTAGCCAAGCGAGAGTTTGATGAAGTTGATATGGCCAAGAGGTAAGGACTGCAGCCAGCTGCGGAGGCCAGGCTGTTGACATTTACTGGTGAAGGCAAAACTTCCTTAAGATTCAGCAATTGCTGTAATTTTCTGTGAAAGGGGACTGGGGCTAAGGCAAGGTCATTGTTAATTTGTGGAGGAAAAAAAATTAGAGAAGCGGTGGCTAATCCTGTAACTTATTGTGCGCTTGGCACTGTCCTGGAACGTGCAGCAGCGTTCGCTTTAGTGGGGGTTCAGAGTCTGCTGTGGCATGAAGCAGGATGGGACATGCTGTATTGCAGCTGTGTATGTGAATTCACCTTTGTGGAAGATAAGGCATAAATTTCAGAAGCATTTCCTTTCATGTTTATTTGTTGGTATTTATGTTTGTACTTCCCTTAATTTAGTTAGCAAATATTAGTGAGGTCAGCTTCAGTTTGTTTATGGTCCGTTTCCCTTTTGAATCCACAGCCCTGGTAGCATTTGGTTCCACTTAAGGGAGAACATTTATTTGCTTAGAAAACTCTTCCACTGAACTTGAACAAAAGACTTTCGTTGTGGTTGTGACCCACAGAAATGTTTCCAGTTTGCTTCTATTTCAAGGCAAAGTTGAGAGGGAAACAAGTGGGTTGAGAAAGGTGATGTTTATACGCCCTT